CGGCGGTGGTGAGGGTGATGGCACGGACGAAGATGGCATATTGTGTCCACGGCCGCAGGTTGAGCAGGGCCACCCCTGGCTCCTGCTCACTGCTGAGTGGCAGCTCCACGTCCAGCACATTCCAGCTCTGTGCCCCGCAAGCGTCCTGCCCCACGTACTCTGACACGTTCTGGAAAGGTCTGGCAACCACCCGGCCCCCAGGCATCAGCTGGGGGGTCCCAGCCAACCCCAAGCCTCTCCATCTTCTGGGGCCCAGCAGCCCCAGATGTGCCATGAGGATGCTGCAGGCTGGGGGACACGAGGATCACTTACGACTCCTTGTAGTAGACAATGAAGCTGAGGAGGTCTCGGTACTCAGGCGGCCGGTACCGCTCCCACTTGAGGAAGATGCGGTCGGACTCGGTGATGTTGGAGATGAAACGCAAGGTTTGGGTTTTGCCTGTGGAGGGGTGCAAGGGATCAGAATCACGGTGCCACTGGGTCCCCCCCCATCCCCATCCCCATCCCCACACTCACAGGACGCCCGGTCCCCGTTGGTGCGCGGGTTGATCTCTGCCTTGTTCTGCCGCCCCTTGGTGCCCGTCACCTCCTCCATGTGGTAGATCTCAGCCAAGCAAAGCTTGGGGTTGAAGGCAAAATACATCTTGCCCACAGGGATAGAGAGGACGTGGTGGCTCCAGTCCCACAACTGCTGCAGATTCTGATTGTCCAGGACGTATAGGGTATAATTCCTGTGGAAGAGGCAGATGGAGGTGATGGGCACAGGCACCCCACTCCCAGGTGTCTTCAGCACGTCCTGTCCTCACCCATCCACCATGGAGTCTCCGCGGATCAGCTTGAGGTTCTTGAAGAAGGACAAGGAGACAAGGGCGAAGGAGTGCTTGATCTTCAGGAAGCCCGTGATGGTCTCGATGAGGCCCAGGCTGCTCTGCAGCTCCGAGGCCAGATTATCTGGGGACATCCCATGGGCATGAGCGTGGTGTGGTGAAGGAGCTGGCACTTGGGACCCTCACTCCTCAATGATCCCCACCCATTAATTCTTCCTCCAAGGGAAATTCCCACCCCTCCTCTGCCCCATGTCACCCTCCCAGCACTCACAGCCTCGGCGGATGTTGAGGATGAGGTTGCCCTCCACCAGAGTGCAGCCTGCCAGCTCCTGCGCTGCCCGTGTCGAGTCCACAGTCTTGGTGCCAACCTTGCATGCTTTGGGGCACAACCCCTCACACTTGTGGCAGAAGATGCTGCAGGGACAGGGAGTGGGAATTAAGCCGGGCACGGAGCCCCCTCCCTCCACTGCCATCCCCCAAGGGCGGGGGTCCCCACCTGCTTTCATTCCTGGTGTAGCCGGGGGGGCACTCAGAGAGGCACTGCTGCTGGTGGATGACAAACTTGGAGGCGTCGCGTGGGTTGTCGGAGACCTTGCGCAGGCTGGCACAGTACTCAGCTGTGACGCAGCGCCAGCCCTCGTACTCATAGGTGCGGGGTGGGCAAGAGGGCAGGCAGTGCCCATTGAAGTGGAAGTGACGGCAGGCCACGCAGGAGCGGCTGTCACGGGGCCGCCCGCAGCCCCCCAGGCACTCAGCATGGCAGCACTCACCCGACGCCGTGCACGCCGAGCCCGCACCGCACGGGCACACTGCAGGGAGGTGATGTTGGCAGTGGGAAAAGGGGATTGTGCAGGGTTTGGGCGGGTAGGGGGCTGGTGGCAGAATGCTGGTGTGGGGAGCAAGGAGAGAGGGTGGGGAGGGGTGGAGGGGCAGATGGAGGGGTGAATGGATGAAGAAATGGATGGAGGGATGGGTGGACGGAGGGATGGGTAGGTGGAAGGGTGGATGGAGGGAGGGTTGGTTGGATGGGTGTACGGACAGAGCGATGGATGGAGGGATGGACAGACACGTGGGTGGATGGACAGGTGGTGGATGGACGGGTGGATGCACAGACAGCTGGACAGACAGATGACGGGCTGCGTGGACATTCAGGACAGACAGGCAAATGGACAAATGGACAGGTGAGGCTCACCGCATGCCAAGCCCCAGCCACCCAGCGGTGCCACGTGGTGCAGCCAGTGCTGGGGCAGTGGCCGAGGTTACAGCCCAGATAAGGATCTGTGTTTATAGTATATATTTCATTACCAGGCCTCCTGTTTACTGCAAACGAGCCCGGGAGGGGCGTGTATTTACCTCACCGCTGGGAAAACATGGCAGCTGGGAGCTGGCCTCTCCTCCCGAGAATGATACAGCGCGGATCCGATTACTCCACTGCAGCTCGCTCCCACGCAGAGACAGATGTGTGCCCAGCTCTGCCCTCCCAGTGCCTCCCAGTGCCTCCCAGTGCTCCCCATCGGCTCCCAGCACAGGGATGAGCAGCCCCGCAGCACCTCACCCACCTTTCTGGCAGTAGCTGGAGGTCCAGCAGCGATAATCCAACTGCCCATTGACAACGGTCTGCGCACACGGCTTCTCCACGTCCAGGATACCTGGGCAGACGTCGGCGCACTCCTCGGCCAGCTTGTTGCCCACAATGTAGCTGTTGTCCACGGCGTCGGGCAGCAGCAGCCCCCAGTCGATGGTGGAGAGGTGGCAGAGCTCCTGGTTGCGCTCGATGCGCACCGAGCCGCGCAGCACGTGGCTCAGGCTGTGCAGCCCGATCTCCCGTAGGTGCGGCATCTCGAAGATGACCAACGCGTAGTTGAAGAAGAGGTTGGTGCCACGGATGACCGAGAGGTTGGGGAAGAGATCCCGCAGGCTCTCCAACCCGTAGACACGGAAGAGCAGCAGGTACTCGGTGATCATCAGCAGGCGGGGGAAGCTGAGCCCACGGAAGTCCTCGGCGCCCGTGGTGAACATCAGCAGGATCTGCAGGTTGCCTTCGATGATGGAGCAGTTCTCCAGCTTCTGCAGCTGCGACACGTCGTTGCGGATGTCCATGCTGCCGCAGACTGGGGTGGCAAAAAGGGGCCTAGGGGCAATGGGATGCCCCAGAGCATCCTGCCACCACACAGGTGTCATCCCCCCTCCCCCAGATAGGGCCGCAGCGATGCGTGGCAGGGGTTAATGTCCTGCTCTGGCTGTCAGCTGCCTGCGGTCGCTGTGGGCAGCTGGGGCAGATGAGAGCAGCCGTGACAGGCAGCCGGCGCACCACAGCTCCTACGGGGACAGCACGGCTGCTGTGATGCTAACGAGGTCTGGCTCTGCGGGAGCTTCCTAGGACCATTTCATAGCCCTCTGCCAACCCCATGGAGGCTGCAGCCCCTGGGGTAGCAGCAGTGAGCACGCAGCATCCTCCCACCGAATCGCTCCCATTGACACTTTGCAGAGATGGGGCTATGGGGTCACCATCCCAGGGGTTTTCCACCCCATTGCAGGTGGGCACCATGGGGCTGAGCATCTCCTGCTGTCTCTGCTCCCCTCCAGCAGTATCCCCAGCCTGAAACCTGACTCCGAGTTATTACGGAGAGAAACTCACTGATACTCAGAGAGGGATTTACTGTAAACACCGATAGCAAAGATGACCAGCTCGGCGTGTACCCCGAACACCCAAGCAGTACTGGCAACGTGGAATGGAGCTGGAGCACCCAGAAGTGTGTGGCAAGGCAGCAATACACAGAGCCCCCCCAGCACTATGGGGTACCCTCGGGACATGGGAGTCTCCATCCTGCTGTGGGGCTGAGGATGCAGTATCAGCTCCGAGAGTGTAACACTCTGCTGCCACAGCTGTGACCTTGGCAAAGTCACAGCGGTCCCTGTGCTGAGTGGGGGAACAGAAGGAGAGAGGGGACCAGGAACAACTTGGTCCCTATTGTGGGTAGAGAGAATTCTAGGGTCCCCAGCGCCCTCACAGGGGCAGAGACAGAGCAAGAAGCATTCCCAGAGCAACTCTCAGCATGAGTTCGGCTGCTCTGTCCTCATTCCCCCTCCCCTTCTCTCTAGCTCCCAATGGGGAAACTGAGGCAGCACGCAGAGAAAGGACAGACACACAGTGACAAACCCAGGCATGTGAGTCCCTCTGTCCCCACCCTGCTGGGAGTGCAGGGACCCCACCAGGGGACATCCCCACATAAGCCCCTGGGGCTTTTCCTGATCCAGGATCATCAGAACCCCGTGCCTGTCCCCCAGGTCGCATCCCCAGACTAAAAGGTTTAAGCATCATTTTCCATCACTGCTGAGCGCAGTGGCTTCATGGAATCATTTCCCACAGAAGCGAGCGATGCCCTGACCCCACCACAGGGCCCCCACCCCATTTCCTCCCCAACTCCAGACCCCAAAGGTCACAGCCGTGCTCGTGCCGCCAGGTGAGGATTGTGGCGGCGCGGTCATCGCGTCAGAGGGGAAACTGAGGCAGCAAGCACAAAGCTTCACCTGGAGGCTCAGCCCAACAACTCCAAAACCCCAAAACCCATCCCCCTCACCCCTCTTCCCACCACTTACTTTCAGAGGGGGCCTGCACCGGGGGCAACAGGAGGGGGCCGAGGAGCAGCAGGGCAAGCAGCAGCCGTAGGACCCCCAATGCCCCCATCCCGTGGGGCCACGTCTCACTCCTGCCCGGTGCTGCAGGCGGGCACACGTCCGGCCCCGCACGCCGGGCACTCCTTGCCAGCACCGAGGCACGCCGGGAGAAGGGTGGCCCCGTGGCCCCTTCACTTTTGTTTTCGGCTGCCACACACAAAATATTTAGCCTGACAACTGTGCGGGGCCGGGCCAGGGCCAGGGCCGGGGCTTGTTTGGGAAATAGAGAGGGGAGAAAACAGGACGGCCCTGAGAGCAGTGGGGCTGGAAGGGGTCAGGGAGTGTGAGATGCCCCCAGACCTTGTGTTCTTCAGGATGATGCTCCGTGCTTCGCTTTCTGCAGGTGTGGGGATTGCGGGGAGGATTTGATGGCATGGGTACATCCAGGGTGACCCTGTGAGGGGTCAGTCCCAGGGAACAAAGGAGCAAAGAGGAGGAAGAGGAGGAGGAAGAGGATGAGGAGGGGGAGGAAGCTGCTCCGCTCAGCACCCAAGATAAGAGGATTGGGGCACATTTATTTCTCGAATTAGAGCCAAGGGAAGGGCAGAGCCCTCAGGTGAGGGTGGACCTGGGGAGCACAGCAGTGCCCCTGGCTCTGCCCCAGTGGCCCTCAGCACAGCAGCAGTGGGAGCAGCAGCTCCAGCACTCAGGTGCTCACATCTGCTGGGGGTGAAGGGGAGTCTGGAGGTCCTTCTCGTGGGATTGCCCCATTCTTCTGTCCCCACCCTGGGGGGGAGCTCAGGAGCAGCTGCTCCTACGCCGACGGAGCAGAGTCACGGGGCGGCTGCCTTCCTCCTCCTGGTCGCTCTCACAGCAGCGCTGGGGGCACAGAAGGGCACAGAGGGGCTGAAGGGCAGGGACAAGACCACGGCCCCCCCCAGGGAGGGGCATCCCATGGCACAGCCCCTCATTATCCATTATGCACCCCCAGCATCTCACCAGCTCTTCGCCCTCCGTCCCGGGGCTGCAAAGCAGCCGCATGCGGCACAGCCGGTTGCAGGCAGACACCATGTTGTAAGAGAGCTGGGGGAGCAGCAAGGCAAGGGTCTGTGCAGGGAGCTCTCCCCTCCACTCCCACCACTCCTATACTGGAGCACAGACCCCACTACGGCCCCCTACCCAAATGCACCCAGCCCTGGGGTGGAGCACGATGGCTTCACACAAGTACCCAAAGGTGATGGGACCCCGCATCCTGCCGTCCCCATCCCTCACCCCCTTATCCCTCCCTTTCACCTTCCACTTCCTCCGGGCGTTGAACTTGCGGAAGTTTTTCATGTTGATGGAGGAACGGCACCGTTTTGCTGCTTGTTTCCTGTTCAGGGGCTGGAGGGACGAAGCTGTGGCATCATCACTGCACCCCCTCCCCACGTCCTCAGCACACGGCAGCCAGTGGAGCCCAGCTATGTTCCCCCTTTCTACCTCACCTTAATCCAAGGGTGCACAAGGCACTCAGATGCAGTCATTCGCTCCCTGCAACAGAGAGGGCTGTGATGGCAGGGATCTGGGGATCCCCAGGGTTGGGGACAGAGACCCCCAAGGACTGGGACAGAGACAGGCATGGCACTCACTGAGGCTCTTTCACCAGCAGCAGCCGGATGAAGTCCTTGGCCATCTCAGAGGTGTCACTGAAGTAGCGCTCCTCGAACTCATAGGCGCCCTCCAGGACGTTGGAGAGGGTCTCAGCATCTGTCTCACCCTGGAAGGGGGAGAAGCCGCTGAGCCTGCAGGGACACGAGGGAGCGTGAGCACCGGAGATGGACCTGCCACGCTGCCCCCTGTGCCTCAGTTTCCCCCGGCTGCATTTTCCCCTCGCCACTACTCACAGGATGTAGGTGATAACCCCGATGCTCCTGAAAGACAGAGGGTGGGGGTCAGGACTGTCCTCTGGGGCTCCCTACAGTAGCACTGTGGGTCCCCCCCGTCCCTCTCCTCACCACATGTCGGTGGCGGAGCTCAGCGGTTCGTAGTTGATCACTTCGGGAGCTAAGGGTGAAGGAAAAGCAGAGGGGGGCATGTCAAGTGGGAGCACCACACGGGCACCCCGATATGTCCCCAGTCATGCAGGTCCCCCTCCCAGTGAAGCTGTCCCAGCTCTTGTCTGCCCCTTAGAACTGGGGCTCTAGGGGTCCCACTGCCCCTCCAGCCCAGCTGACAGCTCCATACCAATGTACTGGGGGGTCCCGCAGAGGCTCTTGAAGGTGACACCATCCTCCAGCTTCTGGGCCAAGCCAAAGTCGATGATCTTGATTTGAGGCTTGGGCACATCCTTCTCCTGCAGCATGATGTTCTCAGGCTGCGTGGAGGTGGGTGAGGAACAGTAAAATACCCCAGAACCACCCCCAGGTAGGATGCAGCCATAGGGTGGAGGGGGGGACACCCTGGGTCAGCCAGGGACCTGCACAGGCACCTTGAGGTCAAAGTGGGCGATGTGGCGCCCATGAAGGTACTGCACCCCAAGCAGGATCTGCTCCAGGAACTCGATGGCCTCCTCCTCCAACAGCATCTCCTTCTCCGCAATAAAGTCAAAGAGTTCCCCACCACGCATCCTGCAGGGCAGGGCAATGCTGGGGGGAGTTCTGGGGGGAGCACAACACCAGTACCCCCCTCCCCCCCCCCACCCAACCCCAGGACCACGCTCACAGCTCCAGCACCAGCACCATCTCAGCTCTGCATGTGAAGAGGTCGTGCAGCTGCATGATGTTGGGGTGCTGCAGGTCCCGCAGGATGGACACCTCCCGTTCCACCTGCACCCTTTCCAGGCCCCGCCGGCTGCCCCGGCACCGCCTCGTCTTCACAAATTTGGCAGCATAGAAAACGCCGGTGCTGCGTTCCCGGCACTTCTTCACCACTCCAAAGTGCCCACTGTGAGAGAAACCAGGGCACTGGTGGGGATGGGGAGGGGGGCACGGCTGCAATGTCACTACTCCGCACACCCCACACCACCCTACTCACCTGCCCAGCGTCTCCAGCAGCTCATACAGCTCCTCCACACTGCGTGCACGCAGGGCGACCGCCTGCAGGAGTGCCCAGACCTGGCTTAGCCAGGCGGCACCCCCTGGTACAGGCTGCAGGGGGGTTCACCGGTGTCTCCTCCCCCAGTTTGCACCCCCAGGACCCTTCCCGTTGCTCTCACCTGGGGGCTGTCGGAGGCAGCCCCGCCATCCTCAGCCATGGCTGCAAAGATAAATAGACAGAGGGGATGGGAGGGGGGGGGCAGCAGGACCAAGAAGAGCCCTCCCAAATCTCACCACACCGATGGCGCAGCTCCCAAGCAAAGAGGGAAACGGAGGCAGGGCGTGCGGCCGAGCGTGCAGTGCTGAGGGGTAGCACCCAACGCCAGAGGCAGGGTCCCCCTCCAGCAGGAAAAAACACCTCAATAAGGGAACACAACGAGGGAGCACGGGACCTGACGGCTTTGTGCACGGTTGTCCCCATCCATGGCCAAGCAGAGCTGTCTCCAGCCCAGATCCTTCCCCCCCTCCACGCTCTGCTTGCTCCCAGCACCGCCAGCCCCGCTGGATGGCCTCTCTGCACAGTGACAGCCCCGTGCCACCCCCGGGCAGCGCAGGCACCCCGCCAGGCACTGCACAGCCTTGGATCCACGTAGGCTGGAGTCTGGTGACCGTCCCCAACATGTGACAGAGCTGTGGGAGCACTGGGGAGGCAGCTTTTGTGGTGACAACGGCACCGTTGTCCCCAAGGCAGTTCTGTCCCTTGTGCAGGGCTACGCTGTGCACCCCAGCACCCTTACCTTTGCTCTCAGCTCCGGCGATGGGGATGAAGAACCTTCGTGGGACGGTGCCACACTCTGCTCCGTGCCACTGCTTGCGCTCTGGTTTCCTCGAAGCTGCTGTGATTCCTGGGATCCGCTGGGCAGCGGCTCAGGGAAAAAAAGCAGGAAACGCCAAGAGCTGCTCGTCTGCTTCCAAGGTCTCGTGAGAAATCCCCCCACGCTGTCCCCGCCCGGCAGCGCCAGGACAGCTGCAAAGGGGCTGGGAGAGGCCTTGTAGGGTCACATCCTCGAGGAGCAGCTCTGGGGCCGTGGCTGCTCTGTCCGCAGCCGTGAGCGCCAGGGTTGCAAACAGGAAACCTGCCTGACCACCGATAGAAATAGTTTAACCCGGCTGCCCGGAGGGGAAACGGTGCAGGGTGTGAGGGCAGGGAGGAGGAACAGGTTTCTTAAGGTGGAGAGAGCCGGGGGGCACCACGCCGTGGGGCTGGGGGTGCTCTGTCCCCACCCGCAGGTGTGCAAAGCTCCAGTGCAGGGCTGCAACCTGGCTCCAGCACAGCTACAGGTTAGGCTCTGTGCAAGAAACAGGGCTGCAGACGGGACAAAGAGGTTTTGCGGGTGCAGGAAGAAGGGAACCCAGCCAGCCCTGCACCCCTCACTGCAACACACCTTGTTGGCACAGCAAGCACCAGGTGCACCCCGTGCACCCAGGTAACACTTACGTGGCTGTACAGCCATCAGCAGCTGAACACGCTGAGGGTGAAGGGAAAGAGGGCGAAGAGGTGCTCCCACGGTGCCACCCGCAGCCCCCGCCGTTGTTCCGTGACGTGGCCCCGGCGTGCAGCTCGCCGCTTCCTGCCCATCACCGTGCTCAGTGCTGCATCAGCGCTGCCCACCCCACGGCCCCCGGGTCCCGGTGGAGGTAGGGGTGAGGGCTGGGAGTGGGCTGGGGGGGTGTCCCGGGGATCCGTGTGTTGAGGTGGGAGCAAAAAGGTTGGGAAGCGAAGACTGGAACAGGGGCACCGAGGGATTGTTGCCATGATGGATGGCAATGGAGGACAAAGGCGTGTGGGGAGCAGGACTCGGTGCTCAGCTCCTTGCTGTGGTTTTGGTGGGCCTTTGCTGCTCCTTTTAGTGCCTCTTTGGATGGGGAACCATTCTGGGTGCACACAGCTCCCGGGTCCTCTCAGTGCTGTGTTAAGGTCCCAGTCTGGTGCTCTCGGCCTTCCAGGACCCCAGTTTGGACAGGCTCGGTCCAGTCCCAGTGACTCAGAGCTGGTGACACAGCGTGGTCGTTTCCACCCCCTCGAGCATCTGCTCAGGATTAACTTTGTTTGGCCGAGTGTTGGCAGGACTCAGATGAACCCTGCATGCATGCAGAGCCGCTGACACACACAGGGTTGGTTCTTCCCAGAGCTTTGGGTTCCCAGCAGCGCCGTGAGGGTGACCAGGAAGAAACAGGGCGAGGAGCAGTACCCTATGGGGCAGCATGGGGGGCTGCTGGGACCCTCAGCCCGCTCCTTTCTGCAACCCGAGGACAGGTGGCTCCATGGATGACACCCAACCCCTCTTCATCACCTTCAAATGCATCGCTGGAGACAAGGCAGGCAGCATCCAGCCAGGACACGGCACGACCCTGCTGCAGCCCCAGAGTGTGGAGCAGTGTGATGCACGAGGCAGGAGGGGACAAGGGGCAGCGGAAGGCCCCCAGCCCCAGCTGCCCTTTGCTCCCTGCCACGTGCTGCAGGGCTGCTCTCAGCCCAGGGAGGTTGCAGCATCTCTGCGGGCACGCACCAAACTGTGGTTTGAGCAGACACAAGTGCATCGGCTGGGGGCCGCAGGCAATCTGCCAGCCTGGTTCCACGGCTTCATCAGTCGCAGGTGAGCAAGGAGTTCCCCAAGGGTGGTCCTGCACCCCCACGGGATGTTCCCACAAGTGAGGGGATGCCCTGGGATCCATTCCTGCAGGGACACAGAACAGATGCTGCAGGGTGAGCCGCTGGGCTGCTTCCTGGTGCGTTTCAGTGAGAGCACGGTGGGCTTCGTGCTGTCCTACAGGTGAGGGAGCCCAGCCCAGGGGTATGGGCACGTCCAACCCCAAGCTGTTCCACCACCAACGCCTCTGTCCTCCCCTGCAGGGGCAGAGAGCGCTGCCGACACTTTGTGCTGGACCAGCTGCCCAATGGACACTATGTGATCCTGGGTGAGCACAGTGCCCACCCCGAGCTGGCCGAGCTGCTGCAGCACTATGCCCACGTTCCCATCCCTCCCTACGGTGAGCTGCTGACTGTGCCACGGGGACGGGTAAGCACGCCTTCTCATTGCAGCAATTAGCTGCTTCGTTAGCCCCAGCAGGACGTGGGAGAAACAGCAGCTTTCCTGCTTCACTGGGGCTGCTTTCTCCAGGGAAATCAGGGAATCCAGGCCAGAGAAATCAAAGGGTCACAGCTGAAGTTGGCACTTCACCACCCAACATCACAGCTGGGCCAGTCCTGGCCTCGTGACTGCCTTCCTTTCACCCTTTGCACTTTGCAGGACAAGGCCTGCGGAGTGATGCGCACCCCAGATAGCAGCTCCACATCCCGCAAGGCACCAGCAAACCCCCCAGCAAACAGCACCATGGCCAAGCGGGTGCCAGGAGATGGGCAGGCAGCAGAGAGTGGCCCTGAGGAGGTAAAGGCAAGGCCTGGGGCATAGAGGTGCTTTCCAGGGCAGCCTGGACATAGCATATGCAAGAGGAAGGAAGGGAGCTGATAGGGTAGGGATAGCCAGTCCACCAGGATGGAGTTGGGGTAGGGATGCTGGTGGTCCACGGGGATGCAGCTGGGGTAGGGATGCTGGTGGTCCACGGGGATGCAGCTGGGGTAGGGATGCTGGTGGTCCACGGGGATGCAGCTGGGGTAGGGATGCTGGTGGTCCACGGGGATGCAGCTGGGGTAGGGATGCTGGTGGTCCATGGGGATGCAGCTGGGGTAGGGATGCAGCCAGTCCACGAGGATGCAGCTGGGGTAGGGATGCTGGTGGTCCATGGGATGGGATGGGGATGCAGCTGGTCCAATGGGATGAGCCCCTTCCCCACACTGCCCCCAGCATTCCCTCCCTCTCCAGGCCTCCAACATCCCCCTGCCACTCCCTGCCAAGTTCAGCTCCTCAGCGGCCACCCAGGGACCACGCAGCTGCAACAGCAGCGAAGGAGCAGAAGCCAACAGCCCCTCCACACAGACGCACCTCGAAATCAACCCTGTTGAGATGCTTGATGCCAAGTACCAGCAGCTCATGCGCTTCCACACCTACGCAGAGCCCCACGAGGGCACGGCCCCACCTGTGGAGCCTATTCCCTTCTATGCCATGGGCTTGGGCTCCAGCCCCAGCGCTGAGGCTAACATCTATGCAGAGGTGGCCACGGTGCAACAAGAGCCACCCCGCCGGGGAGCACGAGGCCCTGGATCCCTGCTGGCTCCCACCACATTTCTGCACCGGCGGTTGTCCCGCAGCCTTTCCAACCAGGGCTTCCACAGAAGGCAGCTGCCAGCGACTCCCATCGCAGGCACCACGCAGAGAGCAGCTCCCCGGCCGGCCCCAGAGGTGCGTTTCCATACATCTGCCATAAGGCACAAGCTCTGGTGCAGGACCAAGCTCTCCAGCCCGGCCCTCACCAGGCGCCAAGTCACCATCTCACTAGCTTCCCTTCCCACAGATTCCTCCGGCCCCAATGAACTCAGCACTGGAGTTTGATGACCCTGCTTACAGCCCAAGGATGAGCAGCACCAAGCGAGCTGAAGCCACGGAGAACATTTATGAGCAGGTTTCTAGAGGCCATCCCTAAGGCACAGAGGTAGGGCCATGGCAATGCCCAGCCTCTTGTTGGCACAAGGTCTGCCTGCTCTGCTCTTGCAGGGCAGAGGGAGACCCCTGGACCTTGGAGGCAGCCCCAGGCATACCAGCAGCATCCATCAGCTCTGCGTTGGGATTCACACGGTCGCCTGCTTCCCAAACCCTGTTTCAAAGGGGATGAGGAAGAACGGATTTAATTTATCTTCGCAGAAAGAGATTGCTATGAATAGAATCAGGGTGGAGGAAAAGGCTATTAGAGCAGAACCAGATGGGTTTCGGGCAGGGCTGGTGCCATCCATGCAGCATTTCGCTGGCTGCAAACAAGCCTGGTCCTGCCAACAGATGCCTTGAGCTCTGCCCTGCTTGCTCAGCCACCGAGCACAGAGCAGCACCAAACCCCAGAACAGAAGATGAGGGCGACACAGAGCCTGCGCCGCCCCACTGCACAACCCCAATTCCTTGCTCTGCCCCCAGTGTGCAGCAACAAGAGTGTGGTTCTCATCAGCCCTGGTGCAAACACAGCCACAACAGAAGGGAAAAGCATGTGAGAGCAACTGGAGACCCAAATTTGGACACGTTGGAGCTTCAAAAGGAGGACTGAAAAGGAGAACAGAGGTTTTATGCTTCTACCTCTAAGAAAATCGCTTCCGTTTTTCACAAGCCTTCACGTTGTTGCTCGTAAATGGCTGAAAGCAGAGCAAAAGTCAGCAGCGATTGCCATCCTCCTAAGTCCCCTCTAGTGTTAAAAATGAGCAATTACATATGGAAAAGGCAAAAATAAACAGGAGGATCTGAACGCTGCCTTCAGCCCCTGGGAGGGATTGGCAGAATGAAGCCTGAGGAGCTCAGACCCACGAAACTGCAGTGGGGAGAAACCTTCCAGGTGCTGCTGCCCCACATTCAGGACACCCGACCCCCACTGCACACACAGCAGAGGGCAGTGAACCCAACCCACCTCACCTTGTGCCTCACACTGCAAACAGCTGTGGTTTGGTTCATTTAAAAGTTTATTCCTTTATCAAATCTCTTGTCAGAGGATTTCACTGTACATATAAGATATGAATAAATTACTCAACAGTAACTTTATTTTGGTCATTCGGATACTCAAACTTGGCTCTGCAAAGTACTAAAACATCCAGGAAACTAAACTAGAAGTTACATTTCTTCTTTTAAATATTCTAAGAAAGAAATTCTTTCATTGGGGTTTGTTTTCTTGGCTCCTTTTTTAAACAGGCAATGGGAGGAAAAACAACCTCATGGAGTTTCTTCCTAAACCACTCTCAGCTGTTTCAGCTGCAGTTACAACAAATACAACCCTTAGTGTTGGAAATGCGAGTTGGAGAACCAGACCAACACTCCCTGCTCCCTTCAGCATCACACAGTGGTGAACAGTGAGCTAAGAGAGGTCACAGAGACTTGGCTAAAGATGCACGGGTTGGGGCTGGTGAGGTTGCACGATCTGCAGTCACATCACCTAGACCTAATACCTTAAATCAATTTAATTCTTTAAAAAGTTAAGGCTGGGACACCGTCTCCTCTTCCCAGCCCAGAGGGTAATGTTAACACTAAAACAGATGTGATGCCTTTATAGGAAAGGAAATTCATACAAACGAGCTAAAAAGCTGAAAAATAAATGTACAGTAGGCAGCTTTCGTTGTGCCTGCTCCCAGGAAACTGGGATACTCAGTTCAATAAGCATGGAGATCAGATTGTTACAGCACTGTCGGCCCTGGATCAGAGGGAGGAAGAAGAAGGGGAAAAGGGAAGCAATGTACACACGATCATCAGCTACACACAAAGGTTCTCAGCAGCAGCTCGTGCTGGCTGAGGTCCTCATTGCTTTCTGCACTCGACACTGCAGTATTTTCACTTCTGTTCCAAGCTCTGATCTGTCACTTTGCTTCTCCTTTGAAACAACAACAACAACAAAAAAACGAGCTTCCCCTCAGC